AACGGGTAAAATAATTTAAGGAAATAAATTGAATAAGCCTTTGTGCAAAGCATGTAATTAAGGGCAAATACATAAAAGGTTATTTAAGGATAGGGTTTTGAAGTACACGGTTGTACAAATAAGGTAAGAAAATCAATTAACAACCAGTAAATCAAAAAATCAAGGATCNGAACTATGGGGATTAAAGGGTCAGTAATTTGAGAAGGATAAGTATCAACTCGATTTAAAGAGGCGACTTGAGTTCTGAGAGATTCCCAGTCATGGTAAAAAGATAAGTCCGTTGGAACTATTTCTTCCACTAAAGGTTCGCGTAAGGGTTAAGAGGATTCTTTGTTTCTGGAAGAAAACCTTTGAGAATGGGAACCTCCAGTTCTAGAAGAAGGGCCAGAACTAGAAGAAGGTGTGAGTGAACTACCACCACGGACATATCCCAAACTACGGAGTCTACCACCACAACCTCTTCTATGCCTAACGGGAGCATTGGGAAAGCTGTCTAAAATAGGAGTTCTTCTAGGGTTAGGGTTCGGAGAAGCCATGACAAAGGAGAATGAAGTGAAGAAGAAGTGAATGAAAGTTTTGAAAAATTAAAGTGTTCAATACACTTTAAATGGTAGAAGACAAAGATGGAAGTTATATTTATACCGATGAATGACCGTCAGAAGGAAAGAGTATAGTGATGGGAAGTCCATAATAATAATAACTGACACTTCGTGGACAGGGAAGCCGAAAAGAAAGCCTAAGAAAGTGCTATACAATTGTATGACCAATAAGAAGATGACACATGTTTAGCGCACTAAATGAAAGTAATAAGTGAAGCGTCAAACTCTGTCAGAGCATTAATGGTGACAAAAATTCTCCCTTAAATAAATTCCACTTCCCAAATATTCAAACTGATGAATAAATGGAAAGTGGGGGGACTATCTGTATTGGGGAAAATTATATTTATGTATATGGTGACGTGTCATGACGTATAGACTGGTCAAATAGTCAAAGAAATAAGGTTGGTTAACAGATACGAGCAACAACAGATACGAGCAACGACAGATACAAGCAACAACAGATATGAGTAAATTAAATGGAGGGGGTGCGAGCAGTCATACAAGTTATTCAACGTTCATACCTATTCAAGACATTTGAAACTCAAAGATAGTGAAGAATCAAAGGAATGAATCTAACAGCAAAAAGGAGCCCAGATACAGCATTTAATGAGTATTAATTATTGGAAACGTTAGAGAATATGTATTTAATGTATATGATTGCATAACGTAACATTTAAAGTCAGTAATTGCCCATAATAGCATTATTATGACAAAGGTAAGACTCGTATCCCAAAAGAGCTATAAAAAGGGAAGAAACAAATGATTGTAGAGAGAGGTGACTATTGGAATATACTTTGATTTACCAGCTTTCATACTTGGGTATTCTAAAATTTCTTTCTTTATTTATTTTTTCGATTATCAGTAACCTGATTCTTCTAAATTCTAGTTTTGACTAAAATCCTATTTTTTGGTTAAACAGGAACTCCAGTATAATATGTTGGAGTTCAAGTATACTTATGATGGAACTCCAGCATAATATGCTGGCGTATTTTCCGGGTTTTGAACAGTGTTTTCGCTCAGAGTTATCTTTACATGAAAAGTGGCTAAATATCAATTACTTTTGAAATTGGGCTATTTTTGAACGACCAGTTGTAAATATGGCTATTTTTTAATTTCACCCAAGAAAAAGGCTAAAGGGGAACTCCATAAATTATATAGATCCTAATTGTTTTTCATATCTTGAGCTTTTGGCTATAATGAAATAAAAGAACGTGGTTATTCTAAAAATTATCTATTCAAAAAAGAAAAAAAAAATTATTAAAAAAATTATTTCACCGAAAAACTATTGCATAAGGGGGTTCCTTTTCCCATTGAAAGCGTGAGGGGATATCATTTTCCAACCCTTAAAAGTTAAGGGGGTAAAGTAAATTTTACTCAAAACAAAAAAAGTTTTCATAAAACAAAATGGAAAAAGCGCTACCAAGTGGTTATAGAAATTATTCACTAGTTACATTAACGACATAGTTCGGAAGATGGGATTGTCACGTTAATTTGGTGACATATATTGAATAATAAATTGCAAGTAATAATTAGGGAAATTGGTGCTTTTACTTCTTGAATGAAATATCATCAAATTCCGATTTTGGCCTTTGTGATACGTTGTTATGCACATTTAATTCAAAAGTTATTGATATGTGCACCTTTGATCCTTCTGCTTTTGAAGGTTCATAAATTTAACTTATTATTATCTATTAAATCATCGATTGCGCATGATTTATGTTAAATTTTTAATTTTACTCCATATTTAGGGTAATATAGTTTCAACTGTTAGAACATGCGCAGCGGAAGCAAGCATACAAAGCAGGCATCAAATACATGTAAACTAGACAATGCTATAATTAATAGATTAGAAGCACTAACCTCCTGAAAACGTTGCACAAATCTTCCACACAGCAAGAATCCAGGGCTGCGGTCTTCTGCTATATGCCTAGTAAAACCTTGGACGATTTTGCTTTTGGGTAGGCAAGAACAATACAACTCTAAACAGTGAGTTGTTGGGAGAAATTAGTCTTCCTTTAATAGACTGATTTTTGGCCGAAATTATGCTCCAAAAACGTGTAGAATTCTGCTTTCACAAGTAGAATCCTACTCCACTCTACTAGATGACTTTTCTCCCAAGTCACTTTTTACCCAAGTCTTGTCTAGGTTTTTACTAGGTATAGCAGGGACCACAAAAATAATAAGAGGCTACCAATTATAGCATCAATTCAAAATTAGCATGAATTAATTCTTACTATAATTAATTGCAATTTATTCCACTAAAACTGCAATTGAACTCCTCAATATGAATTTCGAAAATTCAATAACACTTTTTTTAACTCCCCATGTTAAGATCTCAAATACCAGTTAATTAAATTAAATCACTAAAAATATAATTGAATCAACTAATTAAATCTTTTACAGTTCCGCTTAAACTATTTCATGTGACGGATACAAAATCCACCGGCCGGATTTTCACATGAAAATTTATAAGCTTACATAAAGGGGTATCATCGAACTCAAAATCGAGTCATAGATTCTATCAAGTAATTATTATTTCACAAATGTTATTCGTTATTGTCCAATCTATTAGGCATACACTAATTCTGAATAGAGTCGTACCTTTTGATAAATCAAAACAATAAACAAATTACATTTATCATAATAATTATATCAAGATTAGGAGTATAAGATCATTTAATGAATTAGAGAAAAATTTTAATATATATATATTCAGTACAAAAATATCTTTCTCTACTTGGTCCGTTCAATATACACAAAGTATACTAGCACAAGAAGTAATCAAGACAAATTATACTATAATCTTGTGCTACAATCATCAAGATATTTTGTACAATAATATCTTTGATTGTGAACATTGTTTATTAATTATGAGAACCGACAATTTAATCTTCTGTGCATGAGCTAAGATCCATACACTAAATTGTCTACTACATAACTAAAAGGACACACATGTAACAAATGATCTATTTAAAATAGCACTTTATTGAATTGAATAAATCAAATAAACAATTATTCCAAAAAGAATAAAATAAAATACTATGTCTAAACCGCATGGTTAATAGTATATCCCAACAATCTCCCACTTAGACTCATAACCATGCATCTACTACTCTAACACCCATTCCTTCTACATGCTTGTCAAAAATCTTCTGTGTCAAGCTCTTTGTAAACGGGTCTGCCAAATTGTCCTCTGACGCAATCTTAGACACTCTTGCATCACCTCTATGAGTTATGTCCCGAATTAAGTGATATTTACGCTCAATATGTTTACTCCTTTTATAGCTTCTTGGTTCCTTCTAGTTTGCAACTGCACCACTATTTTCACAATAAAGTACAATCAGTGCTTGAACCGAAGGAACTACATTTAGCTCTTTTAGAAAGTTCCTGAGCCAAACAACCTCTTTAGCTGCCTCATATGCAGCCATATATTCGGCTTCCATGGTGGAATCAACAACACATGATTGCTTGATGCTCCTCAAACTTATGGCTCGACCTCCTAAGGTAAAAACATATCCTGAGGTAGATTTTCTAGAATCTCTATCTGACTGGAAATCTGAATCAGTATAGCCAATGGGTGCAAGATCACCTGAGTGATACACCAACATATAATCCCTAGTCCTTTTCAAGTACTTGATTATATGCTTAACATCAGTCCAGTGTTCTCGTCTAGGGTTAGACTGAAATCTACTAACCATGCCAACAGCAAAGCGGATATCAGGTGTAGTACATAGCATAGCATACATGAGACTCCCTACAACAGAAGCATAAGGGACCGCCTTCATCTTTTCTATCTCATCAGTCGTTTTTGGGGACTGATCTTTCGATAGAGAGATTCCATATCTAAAAAGGAGAATGCCTTTCTTGGAATCTTGCATGCTAAACCTGGTGAGAATAGTATCAGTATAAAGTACTTGGGATAAGCCTAATATCCTTCGCTTGCGATCTCGCATAAGCTTGATCCCAAGGATATGTGCCACCTGTCCCAAATCTTTCATATCGAAATGTGAGGATAACCATTCCTTTACTGAATTCAACATGCTCACATTATTTCCTATGAGCAAAATATCATCTACGTACAAAACCAAAAATGCAACTTTATCTCAATCCCACTTCTTATAGACACAAGACTCATTGTCACATTGATCAAAACCGAAGGTTTTAATCGATGCATCAAAACAAGTGTTCCATGCTCTAGAAGCTTGTTTCAATCCATAAATGGATTTATTTAATTTACACAACATGTGCTCATTGCCACTTTTTATGAAACCAACTGGTTGTGCCATATAGATGCACTCATCAAGACTTCCATTTAGAAAAGCCGTCTTGACATCCATTTACCAAATCTCATAATCGTAATGAGCAGCAATGGATAAGAGAATCCTAATGGATTTCAGCATGCTACTGGCGAAAAAGTTTCCTCATAACCGATCCCTTCTTTTTGAGTAAACCCTTTTGCAACAAGCCTAGCTTTAAAAGTTTGCACTTTCCATCCACTCCTTTCTTTTTCTTATAGATCCATCTACAACCAATGGGTTTGACTCCAGTAGGTGGTTCTACAAGATCCCATACTTGATTGGAGTAGATGGATTCCATTTCAGATTTCATAGAATCAACCCATTTATCAACATCTGTATCCTGTAGTGCTTCGTCGTAATTAATAGGTTCTCTGTGAGGCTCTTCAGGGATTCTATCATAAGATTCTCCTAAGAGCGCAAACCGGAGAGGTTTTCTAATAATTCTCCCACTACGACTAGTCACTACAGGTGCAGGCTGATTTTGTTGTTGAATCACAACATCATTTTCTGGAATTGAAGCCTCAATGTTATCCTCCATAACTTGCGGTGTTGGGATATCATTAACTTCATCCTGGAATGCAGGCTGCAGAATAATTTCAGGTTTTTCAACAATTTGAGGTTGCTCAACAATCTGATGTTGCTCAACATTAAGCCCACTACTTTGGGGTAATGAGATGTCAGGGTGCATTCTGCTGCCTATTGACATTTCTCCCACTACGATAATGCAGTGGTATGTCAATACTGGCTTTCGGGATACGTTCCAGAGATGAGTCTTTAGTTACACCATTATTTAATTCCTGTAAAACTAGTTTACTTCTAGGAATATGGTTCGTTAAATAGTCCTCTTCTAAAAATCTGGCATTTGTCGTAATAATTACCTTCTTTTCTTTGGGACAATAAAACAAACCGCCTTTAGTTCCTTTTGGATATCCAATAAAAATTCATACTTCAGTCCTTGATCCCAGTTAATCTGCTTTCCCTTTCAGCACATGTGCTGGACAACCCCAAACCCGAATGTGCCGTAAACTTGGCTTACGCCCAGTCCACAATTCTACTGGAGTTGAAGGTACTGACTTTGAAGGAACAAAATTTAGAATGTAATTTTCTATTTCTAAAGCATATCCCCAAAAGGAAGAAGGCAAATCGGAATAACTTAACATTGATCTAACCATTTCCATAAGGGTCCTATTTCTTCTTTCTGCCACACCATTTTGTTGTAGTGTTCCTGGGCAGATAATTGAGATGTAATTCCAATGTCTGATAAGTATCTAATGAATTCCGCAGAAAGGTATTCACCAGCACGATCAGATCGCAATGTTTTGATATATTTATCATGTCGTTTCTCCGTTTCCGTCTTAAATTCTTTGAATTTCTCAAAGCATTCAGACTTACGTCGCAACAGATAAATGTATCCATATTTTGAGTAATCATCTGTGAAAGTCACAAAATACTTAAAACCACCTCTTGCTTGTATATTCATAGGTCCACACAAATTAGAGTGAATTAATTCTAGCTTATCGCTGTCTCTATGTCTCTTGGTCATTTTACCTTCTAAACAGGATTCACATGTTGGTAGTGACTCCTCATGAACTCAAAGGTCCATCAGAGACCAATCTTGAAATCCTATTTAGATTTATATGATCTAGACGTAAGTGCCACAAATAAGTTTGACTCAATTCAGAAATACGTTTTCTTTTATGTGGCAGATTAATGTTATTTATTTCTTTTGGTTGTTGTAGCACATGAGGAGATATATCAAGAATAAAAAAGGTCATGTACTCTAGCAGCAATGTAGATAAAACGTTTATTAAACTTAATAACAACAGAGTTATTAGCAAAATAAACATTATAACCAGTATCCATTATTTTCGAAACCGAAATCAAATTCCTTCCAGTAAAAGGTACATAGAGAACATCTTTTAAAACTAAAATCTATCACGACTAAATGAAACTCTAATATCTCCTAATGCTAAAGCTGGTGCTGGCTCGCCATTGGCTTGAAAAACGGGAACTTCATTCTCACTTAGCCGCCACGTTTCCTGAAACGCGTGCAAATTAGTGCAGATATGATTAGTGGCTCCCAAATCTACACACCAAAACATGGTAGAAACAGCCGCTAAAAAAGTTTCAACAACATTTAAATTTGAATTATCTTGCTTATTCAACTTTGCCAGATAGGCAAGGCATTGCTTCTTGTGATGCCCAGGTTGCTTGCAATGATAGCACTTGCCTTTGGGCTTTTTCACACCAGCCGCACCTCCAAGTGCCAAAACCTTTTGAGATTTCTTCTTTTTCTTACCGCCTTTCAACTTAGAAACTGAAGCTTTCTCAACATTGAGTGCCACAACTGGAGCTTGTTGTTTGATAATGGATTCTGCCGCTTGCAACTCATTCAACAATTTCGCTAGTGACACATCCATTTTGTTCATATTATAGTTCAAGTGAAACTGTTGAAAACTGTCAGGCAGAGTCTGCAGGACCATCTCAACTTGAGACTCCCTATCAATCATATCTCCAAGGACCTCCATTTCATTCAGAAGACTCATCATCTTCAGAACATGGTCCCAGACCGATGATCCTTCAACCACTTTGGTGTTCAAAAGGGCTTTCATGGCTTTCTGCTTAGTTGCACGATTTTGCTCACCGAACATCTCTTTGAGACTTTCGAGCATATCATATGCAGACCCCATAGACTAATGCTAATGTTGCAAAACATTCGCCATAGAGGCAAAAATGTAACTTCGTGCCATCTCATCTGTCGCGCCCCCTTTTTCTCTCGAAATCGGGTTTATGACATTTGAGAAGACAACTCGTTCCCTTTTGGGAATTGGGTTTTGAATTGAAGAGTCGCCACCTAATGATTTAAGTGCATTAGGACACTAAGAAGGGTTTCATTTAAGTAACCTGAGATTGGGTAAGGGCTTGAAATTATCCCGAGGGGAAGGTGTTAGGCACCCCTCAGGATCCACTAGTATGGTTCCTGGCCAAACTATTGTTGTGACTTAAGTGCAAATAACACATAGGCAAATAAAACTTCAAGTAAGAGGGGATTTTCACAAATGGTTACAAATAAACAAAGTTAGAAAGAACGAAAGGGATACTGGTTTTTCCTTAGAGAAATAGTTTAAAATTTGAAAAAAAAAGCAAAGAATCAAAGAAACAAAGGGAAGGGGGGGGGGTCCTAGGTTTATAAATAATATGGATCACCCCACACAACATCCGNCCCTTTCTCACCCCGTTAAGGTATTAAAGCGTGGAATGGTCTCGTTTGCTTATTGCATGCTATTACCCGCCCCAATCCTATCAGCCACGGAGGTACTTGGGACTACTAATCCTAAAGGGAGGAGATATTGGCTTATTTGTGGTTTCAAAAGGTAAAATACTAAGGCGACAGGCAAAAACACATATAGTAAATTTGGGGAAAAGCATGTAAACAAACAAAGGCTCAAATACACCTCCTTTAAACAGAGAAAAGCAAGTAGTTAGCATGACTTACACATACTGTTTAAGGTCTAATTAAAACTTAAAAGGTTGGGGCAGAGTGATTTATTACATAGTTTAGATAAGAAGCCCGAAGCAGGCCTACCTGTTGGTTGTAGCTAATAAAATCTGATATGGTTTACAAAATTTACCCTATGGTTTGCCTAGGTGTTGGACGAAGATCCTATAGGCATGATATCTACTGATTTCAGAAACAATGAATTAAACTGAATACATACTGATTTAAGAAAAAGTTGTCAGTTATTAAAGAAAGGCGAGTTTTAGCAAAAGATCGTAAGTTCTGCAACTGGTAAGGCATTATCACTGGTTTTAGACTTATAAGTGAGTGAAGCGATTCAGATTTGGTTAAAGCTCCTATAGGCATGCTTTCTATGCGTTTGTTGACTTTGGAACACTTTTACAGACATAGAGAAATGCAGAAATCCTACAAACATGATATATAGGTGTTGTATTTTATATGAACATGATATCTAATTGCGATTGATTATTCAGGGCCTATTAACACGTTTGCCTAATGAACGTGGATATGCAAGATTCAGAAGGACCTATAGGCATATTTTCTATATGCATATGCAGAATTCTGATTTCGAATAATTGTAGACATGGCATCTATATGAGAGAATGCAGGACCCCTATAGACATGGTATCTATATATATGAGAGAATGCAGGATTCCTAAAGACATGTTATCTATATATGAGAGAATGCAGAAATTCAGAAACTCCTATAGACCTGGTATCTATATATGAGAGAATGCAGAAATTCAGAAACTCCTATAGACCTGGTATCTATATATGAGAGAATGCAGAATTCCTAAAGACATGTTATTTATATATGAGAGAATGCAGAAATTCAGAAACTCCTATAGACATGGTATCTATATATAAGAAAATGCAGGATCCCTAAAGACATGTTATCTATATATGAGAGAATGCAGGATTCCTAAAGACATGTTATCCATATATGAGAGAATGCAGAAATTCAGAAACTCCTATAGACATGGTATCTATATATGAGAAAATGCAGGATCCCTAAAGACATGTTATCTACCCCTTGCATACATGGTTACCCCTTCCCTTTTTTACTAGCCATCCCCGAAAGTTTTATTACAACTTTATTACAGCCTAGAAAAAAAAGAAGTAAAGTAAAGAAAATACATCAGAAAATAAAATAAAAAAATACAACCAAGGAGAGCCTGATTCAGGCTTCCTGTCTGAAGTATGAAGTAAACCAACTCCAAGAGGTCACATTCCAAAGCCTTTCTCCCATTTGGATGTGTCAAAGTTCCCTAAGAGCCTCGAAAAGGACTTCGGGCAATGCTCACACCCAAACGCATCACCAGATTAAGACATAGTGCAGCGTGGAAGGGCCAGCCCTCAGGTGTCCAAGTTCAGAGGGAACTCAAGGTCCCAAGGCAAGGCTCACAAGAGGGGGGCAGAACTTAAGGACTAAGAGAGAGTGCAAGTGCAGAAGCATAATTCTGAAAGGGGAAAGGGAAAAGGGAAACAACTTAAATCAGTACACATAAGGGTATAGGGGAATGGGGGAGTTGCAAGAGGCAAAAGGCAGGCTGATGGGCATACCCAGCAATGGGAGATGCTGGCACACCCTTAGGCCTGTTAGAATATATTGTTTAGAGGTTAAGACCCCCATTGGATCAAACTTAATTCATGGACAACAACTTACATTGCCATGCCTTAAGTCATAACTCAAAACACATAGGGGTAATAGGGGGAATGGGGGGTTCATAACAAACAAACAAAAGGAAATCAGCATGCCAATTTAAGTGCTGAGATATACAGAAACAGCAAGCAAATATGGACACACAAGCAGTAAATACACATTGTTGTAGTGCTAAAAACTAAATCCGGACATACCAGTTTCAGAGAAACAAACAAAGAAAAAGCAGTAGATCTTGTGAACGGGCCATAGTGCAGACAAGAAGAGAATATTATTGTGTGTGAGTATGAGTTCAGAAGGATTCTGAATGGTCCTGAGTTTGCGAAAGAGTCGTGCATTTATAGTGTTGAAAACCAGGCAGAAATAAGGTAAGAAAATAGTTAAGGAACTGAGTATCAATTAAGCATCAATTACACAAGACTTCCCTTAATTAAGGGATTCAGATTCAAACGGGAAAACTATTTAAGGGAAGAAATCAAATAAACATCTTGTACAAAGCATGCAGTTAAGGGCTAATACATAAATG